TTCATTTTCTGACTGAAATTAGAAACCAATATTGAATACTTTATAAATTAGAGTATAATTAGTGAAACATACTACATCAACCAGAATATAAATGAATTCTATTGAAGAAATCTCAAACAAATCTTCTCTGATTATAAAACAAAAACAACAGAATACACATCCTGAATTTCATTGTTAATCACTATGCCACAAATATACATCCATTTTGTAAATACCTAAACAATATTGTGATCAGAGTTCTGGGTATCTAATATGGTAACAGACATTGGAGTCTTGAATATCACAAACAATCAAATATAATTCTTTACAGTCACTATTGTATAGAGTATGACAGATTAAAGACTAAACAATTATTTTATGAAGCTAACTGAACGAAAAAAAAAACCCATACTAATTTTGGGAAATTAACTTATTCTCCAGTAAAAAGTATGTACATTTATTAGTCGGTTATAAACCAATCAAATAATCAGTATAATTCCACTTATATCAAAGAGGCTTAAAACTACGTCGAGCATTTATCAGCCTTTAAACTAGAGCAGATTTCAATTAATTGTTCACTGAATAGTGAACAATATCGTTTTTATAAAGTTCCTTATTCCTGATCAACATGACTGAATAGTTCAATGATAATGTCTCAGACTATGAATCTAAGTAACACAGGTTCTTATCTACTAGAGAATATGACTTTCTACAAAATTTCAGGTATATCTTGTTGACCATTGCCTACATACATGAAACCTAAGACAATAAGCATTTCCTATTGACTACTTTCAATTACCTAATTTATAACAAACACTTGTATTAATAATATTATAATCTTAACTTAAATAGAAACTTTTGGAAAAATTTTCTAAATTACTTAACCACTTAAATAAAATGAATAAAAAGAAAACAAAAGAGATTGACTAACATTCTCTTCTGATTATTATGTAGAGTTATTATATCAGTTAATAATAAATGACATTAGTTAATTATTTTTATGAGATAATAAATTACTAATCTTTATGAATATTTAATAAAACAAATAACAATACACAAATTTAGCTTTAAAATATTCAACAACAAAAAAAAAAAGAAATTGTGGAAATATTCCCAGATAGATTAAGATTATTATCACCAAGTGAGTTACACTAATCTAGTTGTCTATTATTATTATTTCACAGATTGAAATCATGAGTCAATTGAAGCTAGATCACCATGGAAAACCTGGAAGCACTGGACAGCCGTTTCGTCCTAGTATGGGACTCCTCAGCAGTGCGCATCCACGATCTCGCCTCACGAAATTCGAACCCAGGACCTATCAGTCTCACGCCAAGCGCTTAGCCAACTAGACCACTGATTTCAATCTGTGAAATTTCTAAGCTCTCGCGCACGAGACTGATAGGTCTTGGGTTCGGATCTCGCAGGGTGCGGGATCGTGGATGCGCACTGCTGAGGAGTCCCAAACTAGGACGAAACGGTCGTCCAGCGCTTCCCGGTTTTGCGTGGTGGTCTAGCTTCGATTGACTCATTATTTCAATCTGTGAAATTTCCAAAATCTCCACAAACCCCTTCTGATATTATTATTATTACGGTTATTTGAAAATATAATTCTCTTTACAAGTGAATATTAATTGTGATAAAACAGTTTGTTTATTTTATGTGAAGATTTTTCAATGATGCACAATTAGTACATTTTAGTTTTCAACTAATAGTTTGTTAATGAATATGTTAGTTCATAGTGAAAATTATTTTCAAGTTGGTTAAGGTTTGCATTACACAATCATATAAATGTGAAATTGTTATCTTGATTTGAGAAGATTGAAGGTGATAAACTGAATGAACTGAACTTAAGCTTTGTTCCAATTAGTAATCAAGATCTAGATGAATCTTTAAATTAAGGGAATTGATGCTCCTCGTGAAATTCATTTTGTGCCTAGAGGATATATTAACATTGAGCTATTGAAGATGTGATTGACCTTTTTTAGGAATGACGTATTTACACTGGTTGTTCAGTAATCATTAACGTTTGTCATAAAGTTATCTAATCCTTAAACAATTAAATAAGATTAGTACTATGAACTAGACACTTATGAAATCGGTTACTATTCAGTTACCGGTCACTGTAAAGTTATTGTATTCACTTTCTAGATGTAACTTAATTGCCAAGTAACAATTAATGTATTTAGTAATAAACTACATTCTTTATCTAAGAACCAGCGATGCTATTAGGATACGCGAACCGAAGTGGGTAAGTAGTGCTCCAGAGTAATAGTTTGTAGAAATAAAGCTAAAAATAGGTTAAATGTAAGGATTTCATGTCGCTTTGTGAAACTGAGTAACACAAGTTCAAATCTGCCATAGAGTATAAATTCCCTCAATATTCCAGAGGCTTTTTGCTGACGAGACCTATATTAAACGGATTTTGTTGCAGACTATCTTTAAACACTTTACATTATTCATTAATTTGAGTCATCCCATCTACCGACGGACTAATTGTAAGCAGGTCAATTTACAAATTTACCAGAGATTTTAAAGCTTGATACAATTCTCGATCATTTTCAGTCCAAAAGAAAAAAACAGATCTATGGACTTCAGTAAGATGCTGAAATGTTTAAAGCACAACTAAAATAATCTTCTTAAGAGTTAGAAACCCTAAGTATAGTTGAAATAAATTTAAAGACAAGAAATCACTTTAGTTTATATAACTTATTTGACAAGTGTAAATTCATATTGAACTTTTTATTGCATATAATGATTAGTCAGGTATATGATCCTACTGATCAAATTGTGAAGTAGATTGAAAAATATTTTAATTTATGATTAATCAATTGAAAAATGACTATTTTAATCAATCCACTAAAATGAGAAATCATTATTGGTGTATAATTTGACTTACTATAGTGTATGTTGATAAGAGGTTCCATAAAACCTTAGAGAATATCCTAGTTTTGTTTCATACATTTCAAAATATCATGATATTGAAGCAGTGATTAGAACAAGGTCGTCATCATCATCATCATCATCATCATCATCATGAAAAGTAGATAGTTTAACTCTTACAGAATATTTTTAATTGAAAGTAAACTCTGTGATCTTTATTTTATACCAGAATGACAGTGAACATTTTGTGATCAAATAATTTAACTCAAACACTTCCAAAGTAATTCTATCTGATTTCTAAGTCTTAACCAACATTTCACACACACACACACTAAAAAAAGAAAAATAATTCAACTGTAACTAGCTTTAACTTTTCAATGTGATATCATTTATACAACAGAACTATTTCCTACACAAGAATAAAAGTGAATAAATAATTTCCAAAAAAAAAAAAATAATAATTTTCAATACAACACGTAAATTGTATCTAAAGAGAAGAAAAATTACATAAACGTAACAGAAAATAGTTATTGTTAAAAGTTGGTATCTCATTTTCTTTTTTATTACGTCAGAATATTGTTATACATAGTATATATATATAGACTATTGTCTGTAAATTCTCTTTAAGGGTACAATTTTACAAAAATTCTCACTTAGTTCTCTTTCGTTCCATTTAAGTTTCAGACACAACAAATACTACTTAATTCCTTCTTTATTTTTTTCTTTTTTTTGCCTTGACAAAAAGGAAGTCTAGGAAGGAAATAAAATTTATTTTAGAAAAAAAACAAACAATTTAAATCAATTTTAATTATTTAACTCGATAGAACTTATCATTTATATTGGATATTGTCATCTGTCTACTTATTTACCTAAAATTGTTACAATCACTTTAGGTATCTTAATTGCGAAGGAAATATGAATGATTATCGATTTTTCCAAAGCTTAACTTATACTGTACGGAGTAGTACACATGATAATAATAATAATAAAAGTGGCAATAATGGCAGTAATTTAAAGTTCTGCTTTAAAATGTCCATAAATGTGACCATTTAAGATTTTCATGAGCCATTAAATCTGTAATTGAAAATACTGTGATAAATCATATGTGATTTATTTTAGAATATTTTTTTGAGAAATAATGTTATTGTTGTGTATACATAAATCAATAATGATTTATGATATACCTTGATTATTTGATTAGTTACAGATTGTTAACTTGTATATTGAGTTGAAAAAAAAATTTATGAGTAAAGGGTTGTGAAGATTATTAATTTTTTGTTCGAGATCATGAACTGATTGATGTTAGACCACTATTGGAAACCTGAAAGCACTGGACGACCGTTTCGTTCTATTGCGAGACTCCTCAACAGTGTACATCCACGATCCTGTTCGATGGATTCTAGCGCTTTCAATGATGGTCTAACATTAATCAGTTCATGATCTCGATCAAAAAAATTTATCTCAAGTGGAAAAAAAATGAAAACCTAAATAAATTGGATTAGTTCAGGTTTATTATTCATTCTAAGATGATAGGAATATGAATCAACAGATTTGAATAAATGCACATTTTTAGTTTTAAACTTTTACAGTAGTATTTCACTAAAAATAGATATTGTTTATACAAAAGAAAATTCATCTTTATAGTCACCTCTGATAAGGTACTTAGGGAAAAAGTGATTAAGATACAAATGTTTTAGTTGATAATAAACGCAATTGAAGATGAACGGGCAATATCATGGGGTGGTTGAATTTAAACAATAATATAGTCGGATGCCAGTTCAATGGTCTAGAGATTAGGCATTCGTGTGAGAGACCAAAGGTGTTGGGTGTGAATCCTGCGTGGAGGAACGTGGATACACACTGTTGGAGAGTTCTATACTAGGATGAAATGGCCGTCAAATGAGTCCAGATTTTAAACAGTACTCTAACATTGATCGATTCATAATCTCAATCAAAATAAACAAATATATATAGTCAAAAACAAACCACTACATAAAGAGACACATGATAAGTTTTTTTTACGATCAAAAATATATTTTATGAAATAGCCAAGTAATAACAATAGCTGTAGTAACATGAATATTATTTATAAGTTGCTATGGGAAAAAAAAGAAGAAAGAAATTCTTTCTTTACTTACCAAAGTATATGCACCATGTGGACTTTCAAATTCTAATAATTGTAAATTATTCGATATAGTGACCGGTTTATCATGATGCCATATAAATTTTAATTGATCAATTGTATATCCATATGAACCAATATTAACTGTACATTCTTGTTTATCCATTGGAAATTTCCGTAGATACATTTGACATGATAATGTCATTGTAATTTTTTGACTATATAATACTTGTCCATTAGATTTAACACGTAATAAATAATTTGGTTGTGACATATCATGTAAAAAACCTGATTTACCATTACGAAAAAATAAATCAGGAAGCCATAATTGATTTTTTTGTTGATTTAATAATAATTCTTTAATATTATTACTTAATTGAATATTAGTATCCCATGATAAACGTGGATCATACCATTGTTGACGTAGATAACAATTAATTGTATACTCCATTTGTACTACATTACTTGATGATATATCTATAATATGAATGAATACACTAACAATAGTTGGATCTTGAGAATTTTCATTTGGTCTTTCATGTGATTTATAATTAGTTAATATATAATTTAAAATTTGTTCTGTTTGTGATTCACCGGCTAAAAAAGGATGTGATATTTCAGGAGTATATCCTATACTTAATGATGTTTTAGATTCTGAAAATGATGATGTCGATGAAAAAGGTGATGATAATTTAGATACTAAATTAGGAAAAATATTTGGTATAGAGGTATAATGTGATTGATTAATACTATGAATATTACTATTACTTATATGATTAATAGAACTATGATTGATATATTGATTATTTACACGATTTAAATAAGTATTCCATTTATTTTCATGTATATTAGAAGAAGGATAAGATAGATTAATAATTCTACTAATTGGCATATATGATTGATATGGATTAGTTGTATAAAAATTATATGTATGATCTACATTCGAATTAAATCGATTATTATTAATTCGATATGATTCTAATTGTGATAATGATGGATATGGATTATTTTGTTGATTATTATTATTATTATTGTTATTATTTAATTCATTTAATTGATCAATCAATTGTTCACCAATAATTGTTTTTGATATAAATAAATATTTTGTTATTAATAAATGCATATAATAAATAGTTTTAATAATTAAATAAATAGTTTGCCAAAATCCAATGGCCATTAATCAATTATAAAATGACATAGTCGTGATAAATAAATATTATTCATGATATAATAATTTGATTCATACATTATTTTCTTTTTTTCTTCTTTTTATTATTATTTGATACATCATTTTTCTTTTCTTTTCTATTTTTTTCTCTTTTTTTTTAAAAAAAATAAAACTATAAATAAATATAATTTTGGTCAATTCTTTTAAATAATAAGAAAATGATTATGAATGTATATTGAACATTTATTATTTATTTATTTTATTTTTTCAAATAATTCAATACAGGAAAAGTAACGACGAATATTACTATTACGATGACAACAACAACAACACTAATAATAATGATAATAAAATGTAGAAAAAGAAAACTATTTATTTAGATGAATTCTCTTCTTGTTGTGGAAAGTTGAATTTTTTTTTCTAGAAAACATTTTGATAAATAGTCATTTGTAATTAGTTTATTAATTAACCAATCAAAATTATCCTCAGTTATATATATATATATATATATATATATATATTATACAATTATAATTTGTGTGTATGTGATGATGTGTTATTATTATCATTATTAATATTACATCTCACATTGTCTGTGAGTGAGTGAGTGAGTGAGTGAGTGAGTAAGTGCTCATACATATTTTTTCCCTCTTGAAATAAAATTAGAAAATTTAAACATAGAACTACACACCTACACACCTACATACATATATACATATATATACAATATATATATATATATGGATACACACATATAAATAAATGTATGTATGTATGTATGTATGTATATATATCTCCCTAAAATAGGAATATACATAAAAGATTTTGAATGTCATCTAACATGATATTAACACAACCATATAAAATATCTTTTCCTATTTATATAAATCTGATTAAATTACTCAATAAAATGACGATTGATTTAATTCATTTACTTAAATTTCATTGGTCAATAGATTATTTATTATTATTAGTATTATTCACACACACCCACCCTATATATACAACAACACAAAATTAATAATTATATTTGACCAATAGAATTTCAAGGTTAACTGGTTGATTGTTTTTTTTCTATTGTTGAAATTATTCATATTATAAATTAAATTAATAAATAAATAACTGATAAAGAGAAGAAAAATTGATGGAAATGTGATTTATATGAAATAAATTGAATGGATAATGTAATGAGGAGTCCCATACTAGGACGAAACAGCCGTTCAGTACTTCCAGGTTTTTCATAGTGGTCTAGCTTCAATTGACTGATGATTTCAATCTGTGAAATAATGTAAATCATCATCATCATCATCAACAACAACAACAGTAACACCAACAACGAAATTCATTTTAATAATTGAATACATGGGGTGGTATAAGTTAGACTATCATTGAAAACCTAAAAGTACTAATTAGGTAACTATAAATGGATTTGATAAGTCTTGCTAATTGAACTCTATATTCGGTTCCTAAGCTATTCTCGTAACCCTCAAGGTAGAATTACACAGTGACCTGAACACGAGAGAAAAGGTGCAAAATTATGCGAGAGGCACTTTACTCTAAAGGTTCGCTTTAGTACAGAAAATATAGAATTTTTATAGTATTTTAGATGTCCTTGGGTTTCTGGAAGATTCTGGAATACTACTAGACATAGCAACAGTATAGTAATCAGACAATCAGAAACTCTACAAGTAACTTCTTACTTTCTTAATGTTTCTGGCTAAACTTCTTGTAAACGGTGATTGGATAAAATGTTTCCTAGTGTTTTCTGAACCTTTTTTTGTCTTTTACGAGAAGTTTTCTAGATCACCCCAACAAGATTGATGGATACCAATCTAGTGGTTTAAAGATTAAGTTAAGCATTCGCATGTGAAACTGAAGGTATTGAGTCTGAATGTTGCATGTAGGATTGTGGATGCGCATTATTGGAAAGTTTTATACTAAAACAGGAATAATCGTTTAATGCGCTTTCAGGTTTTCAGTAATAATCTAGCTTATATCAACTTATAAATTCAACTATTGAAATTATTACAATCTTCACAAACCCTATTCTCATCAACAATATTAAAAAAAAATTAATAACAATGATAAACATTGATAATTCAGTATACCATTAAGATTTAATTTAATCCGATCCAATGAATACATCATAACATTTCAATGGAGTATCCTATTGTCATTTTTATCTTTTTTTTTTGTTTTTCTTTCTATGTTTTGTACAAATAATGTTGATAAATGGCAAAAAATAATAAATAAAATCAATAAATCTCTAAATGAATTACTAATAGATTTGTTATAAATATATATTTCTGTTTACAATTATCAGCTATAAAACACTTATAACAAGTTTAATTTACACTGATAATTAACATGTGTTCATTAGTGACTAGGTTCGTGAGAAAATTCTCGGAATTCTAGTGAGAAACCGTGACCAGTGGAGCTAATCCGTAGACACAGGTATCTACCTCAATACAATGGAAGATGGTCGGGCAATTTCTTGGATTGGTTGATGTTAGACACTAACACCAATGGATGCCGGCCAGCTCAGTGGTCCAGTAGGTTAAGCGTTCGCGCGCGAGACTGAAGGCCCTGTGTTCGAATCCCGCGAGCGGGCTCGTAGATGCACACTGCTGAGGAGTCACACAATAGAACGAAACGGCTGTCCAGTGCTTCCAGGTTTCCAACAGTGGTCTAACATAAATCGGTTCATTGTCTCAATAAAAAACTTGACTTATTTGATTGAATTTGATCTCGCAGAAACTAATTTTTAAACATTAGTTGAGATCATGAGTCAACTGAAGCTAGATCACCATGGAAAACCTGAGAACACTGGACTGTCGTTTCGTCCTATTGTGAGCCTTCTCAGCAGTGTGTTGAAAAAATGCAACACTTTTACATCTCAAATTGATTTTAGTTAAATAATCACTGTAAAATAGAAAATACTAATTAACTATCCAATCTTAGTTTGAGGATACTTTGTAGTATTTATCCAAAGCCCAGAAATTATTTGAAGACTTTACAGCGAGCGCTTAATCTTCAGACTGTTAAACTAGCGTTATGTCGTTTACAACTCTAACTTCAGTCAATTCGCGATATTGTGCGATTATTATCAACTACCATTAGTAATTTTGTCTCCCACCTGGTATGGTTGAACTCAACTGGCCACTGCTTTTTATTAGAACTCCAAGAAACGTCTCTTGATCTTAGTCATTAGTGATCCTTGATCATTTTTTGTGTAGTAGGATTGCATAGACTATGAAATATTCCGGTCTTTTGTGACTATAAGTGAGATGTACTCTAAGACAGAGTACCTTCTAATAATTTTTTATTGGAAGTTGTCATTTATCACGGACAGAAATAAACTTGAATCAGTCATTATCAAAGTCATAAATACTAAATGACAATCTACCTACTGATTTAAACGTCTAAAACAATTATAAGCAAAGATGGATAGTGGCTAGCAGTGGAATCCAGGACGCGCGTTTCATCCTGTTTGGGACTCGTCAGCTGGATGTACCTGCACCTCAGAGTTGATGTTCACTCTGGGACTCGAACTCAGTACTGTCCGCTTCAAACGCCATCGCGTTATCAACTTAGCTACTGAGTCCTGATAGCCACTTGCTTGTGCAATGGGTTGAGACTGATCAATTTCAGTCCAAAAACATCAATGGGAAGATTCAAGTAAGACAATATCAAGTGAATTCAACTTCAACCCATTGCACAAGCAAGTGGCTATCAGGACTCAGTAGCTAAGTTGATAACGCGATGGCGTTTGAAGCGGACGGTACTGAGTTCGAGTCCCAGAGTGAACATCAACTCTGAGGTGCAGGTACATCCAGCTGACGAGTCCCAAACAGGATGAAACGCGCGTCCTGGATTCCACTGCTAGCCACTATCCATCTTTGCTTATAATGCTTGTAAATTAAGGCAATATCGAGGCATACGCACAGTATGCACATATGCCAATAAGAGACTGATCAATTTCAGTCCTAAACATCAATGGGAAGATTCAAGTAAAACAATATCAAGTGAGTCTAAAACAATGTTGATCTACATAGTGAACAGACATACATATAGAAGGGAAATTTAGATATCTGAATAGACCACTTAGCTGCGATCCAGCGGTACAGAGTCCTAATGTCAGTTACTTTGAGTGGTTGAAGAAATATCTAATTTGAGTAAAACGAACCGGTTGAGAGTTTAACCATATCAAGAGTAAGACTGATATTACTGATGACAATGAAATGTAAGAGTAATGAGTTAAGCTACTAAAACAATAAATCTCGACTTGGTGGTTTTACGGTAAAGTCCTTGTACTGTGACATACTATGGCATTTCGGGACAATATCTTATGTTGTGTCACGGATGAGGACTGCCCGGGATTGTTGGATTTTGATGAAACGACTGTCCAATTTTAGACGTTTCATAATGATTTCTCCAGTCAAACTAAAATATTTCGATGGCACTGCATTCACTCAGCCAAACGGTTAATCATGAGGATCTCGTTTCCTATCTCGACAGAAGCAAGCTATTAGTCACATTCCCTTAAATTATATGCTGGTCATTTCATCCGGAAAGACAATAAATGCTTCAGGAATAAACCATTCAGCCAACAATAACAACAACAAAAAAAAACTCAGCAATACCAGAATCTATCTACAAACTATAGAACTTCGCCATCATCTTTCATCAGACAAATCAAAATAATGTCAACCGGTTAGTAATAATAAGGATAAACGCCAACGTTGAATTCAACAATCTCCATAAGCCTTATTTTCTAACATATTTGAGAAATCAACATATTTACCTATATTGTATTAACAGATTATCTATAATCAATAATATAATGAGTGACTCATCAAAATATCAAATG